TGAGGCCGTAAATGTTCCTCGGAGGCCGTGGCTGTGCGGTGCAGGAAGGGACACGGGTGCTCCCGGTGGGGTGAAAGGCCCGTGGGTTTCCCGGCAGAGCGGGCAGAGCAGGCGCTGCTCTGTGCATCGAGACCGCTGTGAAACCCAGAGCCCAGCAGAATCTGGGTTGTTTTAGGGAGTCTCTGCTCTGTTTTGCAGTGAAAATAAGCAGGGAAGCAGAGGTGCTGGATGGAGAGCAGTGCTGGATCCCATGTGCTGCCCGGCTTATCTGTCACACACAGCAGAGCAATTCCTCACCCAGGGAATTATTGCATAATTATTGCATAATAATGTCTGTTTCTGCCTATGGTGCCTCCACAATGACAGGAGATCAAATAGGTTGGGAAGCAGCTTGTTCCTAACTGAAAAGCATTATTTCAGAATAAGCATGCAGGGGAGAAGGCAGCAGGAATTCCTGCCATGAGCCAGTGGCATTTCCCACGGCAGGAAATTCCGTGAGCTCTTTAGCTCTGTATGTTTTAAATAATAAATAAAAAATTCTTGAATATTTTAGGACATACAGCCTTAATATCACCATAATATAAGCAATTTTCCTTGAGTATTGTAGGAAATACAGCTTTAATATCACCTCAATAAGTTATTTCATGAATATTGTAGAAAGTACAGCTTTAATCTGACCTTAATATGACCTATACATAACCTTGTCCCTTTTCCTTAAATGAGGGTCATATTTCCTCATTTCTGCTCAAAGGCATTGAGAGTGGATTGGGTTGTGCTGGTGAACCAACGTGAGGAAAATGTGATTTTTATTATGCAGGGGAGCTTTCAGTGCTCGCTTTTCCCTCCTCCCTGTGTGCTGGAGGTGCTGCTAATCCTGGAATTGAAGGATAAATAAAACCCAGTATTTGGGGGTGTGAAAGCTCCAGCTTGTTTTGCCAGCTGGGAGGGAGGAGGAGCGGGAAGGCGCCGGGTTTTGCTGTGTGTTGGGCTGGCTGGTGCTGCTGCAGTGGAATGAGTCATCACGGCCCCTCAGCCAGCACCACACAGCAGCCACTGTGCGCTCTTGGCAGCAGCCAGCAAAAGTTTGCAGGGCACAATTCTCTCCAATCCACTGCTGCTAATTCCTTCTGCGTTCACAAAAACAAGTGGGGCAGCCTCTCCCTGTTCGAACTGCTAATGATGGATGCAGCCGGATGGGAGCACATGGAAAAATCAGAATATTTCCTTTTTTTCCTCCCTCCATCATGCAGTGATGCCCCAGAACCAAATAAAAACTTCCTGCTCTTCCCCTCTATCAAACTAAGTAAAATAATTGCTGTTTTGTACATTTGAACATTCTGTAATTGTTCGTGGTTAGGGCTGCTAATTGAATATAAGAAATTTCCTATAGATGTGGAGTATTTTTAACAGTCATGAGGCAGATGGTGTCTCATTGCTGAAAGGACTGTAATTAGGTACAATACCAGAGAGAGTCTGTAACCTCCTTTGCTGTGGTGCTGGATCATTTCTTGCTGAGATAAATTCAGTATAGGATGGATTTGTAAGAGCGGGTTCTGTAAACTGTGAACTGTTTAAAAAAAACATAAGTGAGGTGAAGCAGAAATAAGACCAGTGACTAAACATTTTGTGGGAGCACTTAACAAATGTGTCTGGAGGGCAAAGAGGGGAAAAAAGGTTCTCTAAAATCAGCTTTTAATGTTGTCTGTACTGTTCTCTGGTACTCCCACTCTCAGAAATAGTGAAATTGGTGGTGTTCCCATTTCTGAAGGAAAATTCTTTGCTTCTGCAGCATCTTTTTTTTTTTGAGATTTCCCTGCAGAATCCTTTAGGATGAGTGAACCCCTCCACCTTTTATATTTTCAACTCTGGACTATTTTTAAAGAAGATATTAATTGCAAAGGCAGCAACTAGACTGGCTATTGTAATTTTATTTTGTATCTTGCAATAGCTTTCAAGGTCTAAATGATGTTTTTCAGCACCCCTGGGATTATCCATTTCCCAGCAGCTCTTGGTGTAAGAATCCTGGAGACTGCTTTATGCTAACATGAGGTTTAGGCATAACATGCTGTATAAATAATGTTTGTGTTCAGAGAAATAGGGTCAATTAATGCAGTGAGGGATGATTTAATTGTCCTCTTGCCTGCAGATGACTTTAGGCTTGGCTGAGGAATGGGAAGGAAGCAGTAGTTTTTAAATGCTGTTTGGTATCTGAAATCCCTTGGAGTCTTGTGTTTGGCTTCCTGAGGAGCTGCCTCTGCTGGGTTGGTGTTTGGTGTGCACACACAGAGGCTGACAGCAATTAAATTGTCCACAATCCCAGCAAGAGTCTCTGCATGAGCACAGAGCTTCCCATTGCTGGTTACTCATTGCAGCTGGTTGTTGAGGTTGGTGCAGCTTCAGGCACTGTGCTCATATCCTGCAAGGAGTGAGGTGAGCTGGCATCCTGGGGTGCTGACAGAAAACCTGTAGAGCTGAGATGAGGAAACACCACTGTAAAAACCTGAGCTGACAGCCTTTCTTTATTGTTTTCTTCCAAGGAAAATTGTTCTTTAGGCCTTCAGAAATAAATTAACAGCTTTTGACCCTGGCTACAGAATGATGATTTTGCTGTAACAACAAGAAAATTGTTTCCTTCTGGTTTATTTCCCTGTGCAAAGCTGCAGCCTGGGAATATTGAATGTATTTCCCTGATTTTCAGGTTTTTCTCAGTATTTCAGTCTTTTCTGATTGTTTCCTATACAATATTCTGTATGTCCTTCTTAGTAGAGAGCGAGGAAGAGGATGACAATGAAATGGAAGTGGAAGACCAAGATAGTAAAGAAGCTGAGAAGCCAAACATCATTAACTTTGATACCAGTTTGCCCACATCACATGTGGTATGTTTTTACATATTGTCCATTAAATATATACTGAAAATATTTAAATAGGGTTTGTATAGTTTTATTGTAATGTTCTTATGCCACAAGCTTGGTTTCATTTTCACAGAATCATCATAAGGTGATTTGGCTTGGAAGGACTGTAGAGGGCACCCAATTGGATCTCCTGGGCAGGGAGAGCTTCTGCTGTCCCACGTTGTTCCAAGCCCTTTCCAGCCTGGCCTTGGGCACTGCCAGGGATCCGGGGCAGCCTGTGCCAGGGTGTGCCCACCCTGACAGGGATGAATTCCTTCCCAGTATCCCATCCAGCTCTGCACACAGAGTGGGCACACAGTTGGATCTCCTGGGCAGGAACAGCTGCCACTGTCCCAGGTTGTTCCAAGCCCTGTCCAGCCTGACCTTGGGCACTGCCTGTGCCACGGCCTGCCCACCCTGACAGGGATGAATTCCTTCCCAGTATCCCATCCACCCCTGCCCTCTGGCAGTGTGAAGCCATTCCCTGTGCCCTGGTACTCCATGCCTTGGGAGGAATCTCTGTCCACCTTCTGCAGATACTGCTCCTGCAGATACTGCAAGTGCACGTGAGATCCTGGTGGAGGCTGAGTGAGCCAGAGCAGCCCATGCTCCCCGTGCTCCCCAGGCCCTCCCTGACCCCGTTCCCTCCCGGCAGTACCTGGGCTCGGACATGGAGGAGTTCCACGATAAATTCCTTCCCAGTATCCCATCCACCCCTGCC